GTGACAAGAAACCTCAGTCCATGCTGAGGTTGTGCTGCAGACATACCAGTAAACGCGGTGTCCCCCAAAAGGACGTTGTTTCAAAAATCCTACCATAGGAGATCAGGATGGTTGGGCCAAATATTTTTATGTGCAATAAAGCAGGGATCCCCAAATGCCACATGGCATCGATGGATGAACGTTGACATCACATTGGATGTACAGAGATGCTGCTGGATGAAAAAGGATGAACAATAGTTGGTCAAAAGCCCATTTTGATTATCTAGCTCAGCTTGTCTTAGTGGCTTCCAGATGTGTTGGTCTCTGATTTCCATTATCCCCTGCCAGCATTTGATTAAGAGAGGTTAATCTACCTGTCTCAGGGTAGACATGCCTCAATCTTTTCAACAGAGGTACTGAGATTATGGAATAATTGCGCCTCATCATCTGTCCAAGTTGTTTCACCTCTAATTTATAGGTGCTTGTTGAACCTAAAGTCTGACAAGGAAATTCTGGTTCAGTTCAGGCTTCTGTAGTCCCATAATATCAGCAGTGTTCAAGAACTGAACAGACTTATTTATACCAATAGAAGAGAATATTTGTGGCTCAGGGCTGAACTGTGCGATCCCCGGTGCTGTCTAATCTTGGTGGTTTTCTTGCAGATGTTTTATTAATCCAATCTCATTAGTGCTAGGTATGATGATATTCAGCGCTAGAATTGATGATGTTACTTAGTTGGGTAATGAAATGTCTTCAAGAAAACAACCAAACTCAGAGAACAACAAGGAACCCCTCAGACTTATTTGTGGTTCAGCAATGGAATAGTTGAAACAACAGAAAAAAAAATAATGTTTTCTTTTCATTTTTTCTTTGAAACACCATGACTCTATGAAGTCGGGATGGGGGGTGGGTTCATTCTCCATTTGTAAGAATTCTGCCTCAGTTCATCTTCCATCTTCTGAGCCTCAGCCACTTTTGCAGGACTTGCTTGATGACTTTGCAGCTCCCCTTCTTAAGAACTGTTTAGATATGTTGTTTATTTATCTATTCAATTTGTTCGCCGCCCATTTTGCTGTGATGTGTGTATTACAAATAGAACAAGGCTAGTTAATGCAAAACCTATCCCCTATCCTGGGCATCACAAACCATTTCTAGGTAGAGAAGATAATTTTTGGAGAAAGACTGAACCACCCTCAGAATAATTGGGAAGCACCCCTCTGAGGAGGAACAGACGTTCTGGAATTCTCTGGAATGTTCTTGTATTGCACATGCAGAAACCAATCATGATACACATGCTATGAAAATAAGGACGTGGATGGGTGTGGTTGATTTGATTATCAGATAGAGATCCCCTCATCTGGAATATTCATTTATTTAATATAGTATTCTTGTTAAATAAGGATAGGAAAGCTTATAACTATCTGTAGACCCATTATGTAAGGCAGTGGTTCCCAACTTTTTCTATACTCCGCACCCTTAGAACGCTTCTGATATATTCTCGCACCCCTTACAAAAGTTTGAAATAATGGCAACAAATTATGCGTATACACTAAATTTTGACATTTCTAAACCCAAGTTTTCGCACCCTCTAGAATATCATCTCACACCCCTTGTTGGGAACGCCTGATGTAAGGGGAGGAGAATCTATCAGGTTTTTTTTTTATTTTTCTTTTCAGCATCCAGCCGGGGTGGATAATGTTTGATTTTAGATTTATTTGATATTTGGGTCATTTCCCCCCTTTTTTGTCCACAATTCCCCCCCCCCTTTTTGTTATTAGTGTTGGACGTATGTTTTTCTGTTTTGCATTTAATTCTTGTTGATAAAACAAAATAAATACATATAACAAAAAAAAAGGATGTGGATAGGTGCATGTGCATAAGTAATATATTTTCACTTTTGTGTGGAGTGGAGCTGAGGGGATATTTTGACAATGCAGGACTGGGACAATGCAGGCCAGTGATTCAGGAGAGTGATTCAGTGATCACGAGAAGAGTTAATATCATTCTCTAATGCCTTGGTAAGACCACACTTGGAATACTGCATCCAGCTTTGGTCTCCATAATATAAAAAAGATGTTGAGACCCTAAAAAGACTGCAGAGAAAAGCAACAAAGATGATTAAGAGACTGGAGGCTAAAACATATAAAGAACTGGTTTCTGGAATTGGGTACATCTAGTTTAATAAAAAGAAGGATTAGGGTGATATCGGAGCAGTGTTCCAGTATCTCGGGGGTTGCCACAAAGAAGAGGGAGTCAAGCTATTCTCCAAAGCCCCTGAAGGCAGGACAAGAAGCAATGGATGGAAACTAATCAAGGAGAGAAGCAACCTAGAACTAAGAAGAAACTTCCTGACAGTTAGAACAATGAATCAGTGAAACGAATTGCCTCCAGAAGTTGTGGGTACTTCAACACTGGAGGTTTTTAAGACGAGATTGGACAGCCATTTGTCTGAACTGGTATAGGGTTTTCTGCCTGAGCAGGGGGTTAGACTGGAAGACCTCCAAGGTCCCTTCCAATGCTGTTCTTCTGTTAAACTGCTTTTGAGAGATTGACTATTGAAAACAGGGCTTCAGAAGTTGTATACTGATGCACCTTCTTGCTTGGGTCTTTAATCTCCTTGTTTGATTTTAATTTTGCTTATCATGGTGCAGCCTTCAGCCAGTGGGGCATGATAGGGTTAGTGATGAAATGAGCAATGAAAAAGAAGATTTAGCCATGTTTCCTATGTTCCTGATGCCGCTGAAACTGGAATGGACTTCAGAGGAGTTTGGTATGGGTCTAGGACAGGGGAAGGCCACCTTGGCTCTTTTATGACTCATGGACTTCAACTCCCAGAATTCCTGAGCCAGCCATGCTGAGGGGAAAAAGAGAGGTTTCCATGCTGAGCCATGCTGGCTCAGGAATTCTGGGAGTTGAAGTCCACAAGTCATAAAAGAGCCAAGGTTGCCTATCCCTGGTCTAGGACAACTCGACATGGCCAACTCACCACGGGAGAAGAGTTACACGAATATCAAAGAAATGGTGGAACAGAATCATCAAAGAAAGGATGCCAAAGGCGGGACAAAATGAAGTCCGAATGACAAAAATTAAAACAATTTTTAAAATAATTTTAAATAAATCGAATTACTGAATTGTCCCGTGGTGAGTTGGCCATGACAAGTTGTCGCATTCTGGTTCGGTGTAGCCTCGCAGGTCAGGAAATAAAATTCTCTGGAAGCAGAGTTGCCGCAAGAAAAATCCGGGCAGGAGCAGAGAAGAGACTGACTCAGATTCCTTAGCGCAACCTCAGGAAGAAACCTTGGAAAAGCCGGCGAGAAATCACCTTTCTCTCTCTGTCATGATATCACCCGGTGTAATTTCTAAAATGAAAAGTACACGGGCTTTGATACCGTCTGCTACGGGACCTTTGCTCTAGAAAGGGCTGCGGCTTTATATTTTATGATCTGTTTCCTGCATCTTGTGAAAGAGGCAGAATGCATGGGATGAGGACAGCTTCCTTCAAGGAGGCTTCTGCTGGATTTCCACCCGTTGCCCCGCTGTTCGAGGCAGAGGGGCTTGGGAAGGTATCCTGAGCGAGTTCTTAGGTTGCAGTGTGCTCAATTCATTTCCTCCAAGATGCTTCTAAAGAAAAGTTGTGGCGCAGCCTTGGGCCCAAATTAAGACCAGATCAAAGAGTTAAGGCAGGGGTGTCAAACTCAATTTCACTGAGGGCCACATCAGCATTGTGGTTGCCCTCAGGGAGATGGGTGGGTGTGGCTAGGGTGGATGTGGCCTACTGGGTGGGTGTGGATGGAGTGGGTGTGGCCTACTGGGTGGGTGTGGCCAGCTCTACATCGTTCGCATCAAGGGTTCTTGTGGGGGCCTGGGTAGGAGTGGGACAGATCTGAGGGTCTCTGGCAGAAGGGGGTGGGACCAGGGCAAGTGCCAAGGCATGGTCCACTGGAGGAGCCTCACTGTTCCTCTCAGGCCATGTGGGGGGGGGGCTTGTGGAGCTAAGACTGAATGCGTTTCAGCATAGATGGCCACCACAAAATTGTACATTAGCTCCCAGCTGGCCTGGGCCAGAGCCAAGGCAGCAGGGGCCGTTCCCTCACTGTTTCCAGGATGGCTTCGCGGGCCACAGGAAACCATTTCGTGGGCCGCATCCGGCCCCCGGCCCTTGTGTTTGACATGTCTGAGTTAAGGCCACACGACCAACAGAATCAAGGGAAAATTGACTTCCTGTGTACATTAATTAAAGCAACACACTACAGGTGTAGATAGGCAATCCTTGACTTTCAACCATTTGTTTAGTACCCATCCTCAGTTATAACAACATTGAAAAAAGTGACTGACGACCATTTTTCACACTTACAACCATTGCAGCAGCCCCACGGTCATGTGATCAAAATTCAGACACTTGGCAATTGATTCATATTTATGACGGTTGCAGTGTCCTGGGGTCATGTGATCGCTTTTTTGTGACCTTCTGACAAGCAAAGTCAATAGGGAAGCCAGATTCACTTAACAACCGTGTTACTAACTTAACAACTGCAGTGATTCACTGAACAACTGTGGCAAGAAAGGTCGCAAAATGAGGCAAAACTCCCTTAAGAAGTCTCTCGCTTAGTCGCAGAAATTTTAGGCTCAGTTATGATCCTAGGTCAGGATGCAGCTTTCCCATCATGGTTATAACTTGTGATCGTAGTCAGTTGGGTTACCCATATGAGGAATTCAACTTTACGACTTTTTGTGATGGTCATTAAGTGGTTGTTAACTGAAGCAGTGGTTCACTGGAAAGCTGCATCCGAGTTGTAAGTACATTCAGGTAACTCCACCATAACTCTAAGTGACTGTAAGTTGAGGACTGTCTGTATGGGAATGGGAAAAGGAGTGTCCTTCTTGTTTATGAAAAGTGGTTTATATAAATCACTTTTCATAAACAAGAAGTATAACCGAGACATTACAAGGTGTCTTTATGTCCTTTTAATATTGTTTTTTTTTCTTCTGTTTCATGTTTTGTTCCTGTTTCTATTCTGCAGTCATGAAAGAGGCCAGCACACAAGGTAAGAAATTTGTGAACGTTGCACATTCCACCTGTCCTCTTACCTTTCCTGTTTTCCTGCTGGCTAGTTGAACTCTGCCCTCCCCTCTTTAAATCCTGATTTGGTTTTGTTCCTAACAATCATAGTTTAATGATCATACTTCTTTCTACGAAAATCCTCAATTCTGTGACTTTTCAAAATGGGAGTCTCACTTATTTATTCTTGGCCTTCGAGACTGAAGTGACTACGTGCATGTGCTTCCACGTGTTAGCTTTTCAGCAATAAAAACAGGAAGGTGCTGTTAAAGTAAAGGACAGAGATTTCCTAGCTGTTGATTATATTTCTTCTGTTTCCTAGCTGTTGATTATATTTCTTCCCCTGGAACAGAAGCATACTCCTAATTTATCCCATGGCTGTACTTGGCGGCCAACAATGAATGAGGCAATGCAATGAATTCTAGAATGATTTTTTTTTCCACTCATGAAAATTTCATCTGTCTGCAGTGTTGTGTGGAGTGCCTGCCATGGGACGGATCGTGGGCGGTTCTGATGCTCGAAGTGGACAGTGGCCATGGCAGGTCAACCTGAACTTCAATCGTGATCATGCCTGTGGGGCAACCCTCATTGCCCCCCAGTGGTTGGTTACAGCTGCACATTGCTTCCCCAAGTAAGTTAAGTATCCCTGAAAGTTTGGTCTAGTGGTGAAGGCACCAGGCTAGAAACTAGAAGATTGTGAGTTCTAGTCCCGTCTTAGGCATCCAGTTTTGATCACCATGATATAAAAAAGATGTTGAGACTCTAGAAAGAGTACAGAGAAGAGCAACAAAGATGATTAGGGGACTGGAGGCTAAAACATACAAGGAACGGTTGCTGGAATTGGGTGTGTCTAGTTTAATGAAGAGAAGGACGAGGGGGGACATGATAGCAGTGTTCCAATATCTCAGGGGCTGCCACAAAGAAGAGGGAGTCAAGCTATTCTCCAAAGCCTCTGAAGGCAGGACAAGAAGCAATGGATGGAAACTAACCAAAGAGAGAAGCAACCTGGAACTAAGGAGAAACTTCCTGACAGTTAGAACAATTAATCAGTGGAACAACCTGCCTCCAGAAGCGGTGAATGCTCCAACACTGGAAGTTTTTAAGAAGAAACTGGACAACCATTTGTCTGAAATGGTATAGGGCAGAGGTCTTCAAACTTGGCCCTTTTATGACTTGTGGACTTCAACTGCCTGAATTCCTCACCAGTGTGCCTGGCTGAGGAATTCTGGGAGTTGAACTCCACAAGTCATAAAAGGGCCAAGTTTGAAGACCCCTGGTATAGGGTTTCCTGCCTGAACAGGGGGTTGGACCAGATGACCTCCAAGGTCTCTTCCAACATTGTTGTTATTGTTGTTATTATTGCTGGCTGGGTCATTTTGAGCCAATCTCTAGGAGACAGTGAGTTCTAATCCCGCCTTAGGCATGAAAGCTGGCTGGGTGACTTTGGGCCAATTATTCTTTCTCAGCCTAATCCACCTCCAAGGTTGGTTGTGAGCGAAGTAGTAGTAGTAAAGTACAGGTAGTCCTCAACTTACAACAGTTTTCTTAGTGGCCATTCAAAGTTACAACAGCACTGGGGATGCTGCAATGGTCATAAGTGTGAAAAACGGTGATAAGACCCTTTTTTCAGTGCCGTTGTAACTTTGACTAGTCACTAAATGAACAGTTGTAAGTCAAGGACTACCTGTACAGTTCAGTTTGTGGCTATGTCTCATACTAGCTTGATGCGGTCTTACTGTTAAGAAGTAGGATATATTTAAACATTGCGGGGAAAAAGGTGGATTATTATTGCCTTCTTGCCCACGCTTGGGTACTTCCTAGGGAATCTGTTTGACCCTCATTGGAAAGAGAAGGATGGATTTGGGTGCACTTGGGATGATCTTACAGTCTTAGAATCTCAGAAATGATGTAAACCAGCTTCCTCTCTGCAGGGCAAATCCAATCGAGATGTATGACGTGACACTGGGGTCCTTCCAGCTGAAAAACCCCTCCCCAGACATCCAAGTGACGCTAGTAGAAGAGGTGATTAAGCATCCTGACTTCCATGAAGATGAAGGCTCTCAAGGGGACATTGCCCTGGTGAAACTCAAAACCCCCATTACATATTCTCGGACTGTTCGGCCGATCTGCCTGCCTGCCTCTTCGGTCACCTTCCCGCAGGGCATGACCTGCACCGTCACCGGCTGGGGGAATGTTCTTGCAACTAGTAAGGACAAAAGATTTTTATCTAAAGATTCCACCTAGGGCTGTAATCCTTATTCTTTGCCAAATCTAGCGCCTTTGGGTGGTGTGGTAGTATAAATCCCAGAATTTCTCATTGGCTAGCTGGATAAATGTGGCGCTTGTAGCTTCAGTTGTACCCAAAGGATGCCATCTTCTTTTTCTTGTGCCATATCCGTTATCTGATGTTGGCGATCACGCTGGCGATCCTGTTTTTATCAGCAGCCGCACGAAAAAGTGCTGCTGACTTTTGTCCCAACCAGTCCCTTAGATTTTGAAGCCACGATGTTCTTCTTCTGCCTGGACCTCGTTTGCCTTCCATCTTTCCCTGGAGGATTAAATGGAGTATGCCGTATTTTTCTGGGTGTCTGAAATATTCTAACTTTTGTTTTTTAATTGTTTTGATGCTTTCCCTTGGCGTTCCCAGGCAGCTGATTTAAAGTATGCAAGGATGCTGATATATCTGAAATGGGGAACCACTTCTATCTAATGCAGGTTTCCTTGCTGCAAATTCTTGCACATTCACGATTTAGTTTCCTTCCCTTCTTATCCCAAATGATGTTTGTCCAGTTTAATATTAGAGCAGTTGATTTTGGGTGTCTAACATTTTACAAGTGGTCCTTGACTTACAACAGTTCATTTAGTGACCAAAGTTATAATGGCGCTGAAAAAAGTGCCTTGGGACTATTTTTCACACTTAACGACCGTTGCGGCATACCCGGGGTCAGGTGATCAAAACTGACATGCTTAGCAACCGACTCACATTTATGACAGTTGCAGTATCCTGGGGTCATGTGATGACCTTTTGCACCCTTCTGACCAGCGATGTTTATGGGGAAGCCAGATTCCTTTAACAACTGTGTTGCTGACTTAACAACCACAGTGATTCACTTAACAAGTCTGGCAAGAGATGTCTTAAAATGGGACAAAACAAATTGCTGTCTTAGCAACAGAAAGTTTGGGCTCCATTGTGGTCCTGGTTGAGAACTACCTATATTTCTATGGCATCCGTTTTTTATCCTTGTCTAAAACGCCCGAAAAGCTCGAACAGCATTCTTCAAAATGAAAAAGGTCTTCTGCAGTCACGACAGAAGCCTGAGACTGAAAATCAGGTTTGTCAGATGCTATATTTTTTCTATCCTGCTCTATGGAGAGTTGGTCTCTGACAGAAGGCCACCTGAAGAGACTAGAAGCATTTGAAATGTGGATTTACAGGTGGCTGTTATGTATATGCTGGGTTGACAAGATCAGAAATGCAGAGGTGATAAGCTGCCTGGGAAAGCCAAGGGAAATCATCAAAACAATTAAAGAACGAAAATTAGAATATTTCGGACATGTGATGCGACACCCAGAAAAATACGGCATACTCCATTTAATCCTCCAGGGAAAGATGGAAGGCAAACGAGGTCCAGGCAGAAGAAGAACATCGTGGCTTCAAAATCTAAGGGACTGGTTGGGACAAAACTCAGCAGCACTTTTTCGCGCAGCTGCTGATAAAAACAGGATCGCCAACGTGATTGCCAACGTCTGATAATGGATATGGCACAAGAAGAAGAAGAAGATCTGTTTTTTAAAAATCAAAAATAAGAGGAGCTTGCAAGGGTATAAATATGTAAAAGAAAACAATAAAAGGAGACATCCTCTAGTAATAATGATCATTGACAATCCATGAACCAGCTGGGTTATTGTTTGAGAGATATTAACTAAACTGAGAAGCAGAATGACCATTGGCAGGCAGAAAAACAGTGGGAGCAAATTCCGACTTTCTGCTGGCTTCCCACAATGACTTGTGGGGAAGCTGGCAGGGAGCATTGGAAATGGCAACCCCGTGACTTGGCCAAATCTCAATCCCACAGAATAATAGGTCCTGGATTTGGACGCTTTCTTTAAGTTAGCTCATTCAAGATAGGATAATTAAAAAAAAAATTGTTACCCTATGATGCACTGCTTTGCCCAATTAAAGATTAGAAACAGATGAACAGGGGAATTTTAATAGTGCATGGATAATAAAAATAGAGCAGCAGTTGGAAAACTTCTAGAGAAGGCAGTCAAAGCTTTGAGGAGCTGCAAACAGCCCTAGTTGCCAGAAATTATAGTGCCAGATTCTTCTAGACCAGTGCCAGAGGCGTCACTCAGAGCCCTCTCGGTTGGCACACGCGCCACTGCCGCCAGCAGCAGGTCCATCAGGCCACACCGCTGCCCGGAGCAGGAGCCGCACCCAGCACAAAGGAGGTGAAGCAGCCGACTAGCAAGCTTGAGTAGAGGTGGTAGAGCAGAGGTCACCAACCATTGTCGATTGGTGGACTGGAAGAAAAGGGAGGGGGAAGCATTTTACATGCGTGCATGCGCGCACGGGGCTGTGAGCATGCACCTGCTGCAAATGGGGTAGGGCTAGTGCCTGCGTGAAACTCACTAGCCCTGCCCCATTCTTGCATGGGTGCAGCACCTTGTATCTGCACCCTGTGGTGCAGCAGCGGCCGTTTTTGCGCCTTGCAGCACGGTGGCCCATTTTTGCGCCCCCAGTTTTTGCGTGCCATAGGCGGCACTCAGAGGCACCCCCCTGCCCCCCCCAGGGCACCACAATGCTGATGCAGCCCTGGCACTTTCCGATAAATAAGTGGGGTCTGGGTTGCAGTTTGGGCACTCAGTCTCTAAAAGGTTCGCCATCACTGTCCTAGACAATAGTTTGAAGCCATTAATGGGAAAATGCAGATGAATGTAAGTCAACATTCAGAATGCCCGAATGCCTCCTTTACAGGAAAAGGCTTTAGAAAAAGAAACGGTTTGGGATGGTTCAGCCTGGAAAAATGTCGACTGATCAAGGTATAGGAAGTCACGTATGGCATGGAGAATATGGACAGGGAGATTGTCTTCTTCTCTGGAAAGAGTTGGATCAGGAAGACTCTAATGAAGCTGGGAAGAGATTTAGAATAGAGAAAAGAAAGGGCGTCTTTACGCTGCCCATAATTTATTTTATTTTATTTTTAAAATTTATAAGCCGCCCCACTCCCGAAGGACTCTGGGCGGCTAACAATAAAAAACACATAAAACATAACAAAACAAACAATGCAAAGACAGTCATCCAGGGGCCAGGTTTTATAAACCCCAGGCCTGCCGGAAAAGCCAGGTCTTAAGTAGCTTGCGGAAGACCAACAGGGTGGGAGCAGTCCTAATCTCTGGGGGGAGCTGGTTCCAAAGCGTGGGCGCCATCACAGAGAAGGCCCTCCTCCGCGGCCCCGCCAAATGGCACTGCTTGGCCGACGTGGCCTGAAGGAGGCCCAGCCTGTGGGATCTACCGGACGCAGGGAACTATGAGGTAGTAGGCGATCTCGCAAATAGCCTGGCCCTGAGCCATATAGGGCTTTAAAGGTAATGACCAACACCTTGAATTGGACCTGGAGACCAATAGGCAACCAGTGCAGCTCACGGAGGATAGGTGTAACGTGGGTGTATTGAGAAGCACCCACTATCACTCGCGCGGCTGCATTCTGGACCAACTGTAGTCTCCGAATACTTTTCAAGGGTTGCAGTAGTCCAAACGTGAGGTGACAAGGGCGTGAGTGACTGTAAGGAGAGCCTCCCGGTCCAGGTAGGGTCTGTGGAGTCCATTACCAGAAGAAGTACTGTGGAGTCCATCAACCAGAAGAATTGATCTGTGGAGTCCATTACCAGAAGAATGGGGATGGTTACTGGACTGGATGGAGACTGGACACATTCAGGGAGAATAGCTCCATCAAGAACTGGTGGTCTTGAAGACGTAATGTTATTTCTGGGTTGGAAAACAGGGAGTCTACAAAGGGTAGCTGCGATGTAATGACAGAAGGAGTCAGGCTTAGCTCTGGGAGCTTTCCAGAGACATCTGGTTGGGAGAGAGAAAGTGCTGGGCTAAGAAACATGTTGGATTAATCCAGGAGGAGATACTCTTTTGGTTACCTGAGGTTGGTCAGCAGTTGTAGAGGAGAACCACTTGCCTTCCAGGAATTTCTGAAATCTAGCATTTCTTAGTTTGGGTTCCCCACCCAAGGGAAGACTGTCCCTCCTACTTAACGCTTAGAGATACATCCTTTGGGAGGCCTTGCTTCCACACTGACGCTATACCGTCTCCTTCCCTGTAGCGAGTCTTCCCTCACCCATGACACTTCAACAACTCGAAGTGCCCATCATTGATCTAGACACCTGCAAGTGCCTGTACAGAAGGAACCCAGATCCTGAGGAGTCCCACACCCTCCACAATGACATGATGTGTGCTGGCTTTGCGGAAGGCAAGAAGGATGCCTGTCAGGTGAGGCCACTGAGAGGAGAAAAGGTTGGGGGTGCCATTAATTGGCCAAATGTGGTGATTGTGGTAGTGTCAACGCTGCAAATATTGTATATTCTTGCTTTTGACAATAGGCAGAATTGTCTGGTAAATATGGGGTTAATAAAGAGCAGAAGGGCCGTTGGGGGTAAAGTCCGGGAAAGAAAGAGGAAGAAAACATTTGACCTTCACACTAATTGGATAATGTGATATATGATGGCTAATTTAGGGAGGGAGCATGCTGATAATTTAACTGCTCAGAGGAAGAGAACTTAGATCCTAGCATCCCTCCATTGTGCCTGTGCCGACATTTTGTAACAATAAAAGACTTTTAGGAAAATAAATGCCTGGAAGTTCTTTGGAATGTTTCATTAGCCGGAACCACATCAGGTAGGACACGAGGTCCTGAAAACTGCAGGAGTTCTCAGTCATTTTACTAGGATTATTTACTAGGGTTATTAAATGAGGCTAATAAACAGTTGGGTTTTTCAGCGCTTTAGGCTAGACCAGCATTTCTCAACCTTAGCCTTGTGTGGACTTCAACTCCCAGAATTCCCAGAGCGCTGAGAATTTCTGGGAGTTGAAGTCCACACATCTTAAAAAGTTACCCGGTTTGAAAAGCACTGCTTGTAACCTCTCTCCATTTCTGATCCCTCTTCGTATTGTCAAACCGCATGCTTACGGAGTCCCTACTTCTTTTCCTTTGCAACTCCCCGCCCCCCAAAAAAGACCCCAACTTGACTTTTAATTCCTTTTTTCTTAGGGTGATTCCGGAGGCCCCCTTTCCTGTTTTGTTGACAACTCCTGGTTCCTGGCTGGCGTGGTGAGCTGGGGAGACAACTGTGGGGCCGCCAATAGACCTGGCGTTTACATCCGCCTTCCTGTCTACGCCGACTGGATTAAGGGAAAAGTCCCAGAAGTACAGCTTCAACAAGTGACAGTCCCTCCAAGGCCCACCCCCGAAGAGGCTTTGTGCTCCAATTCTACAGGAGGGGGAGGCCCCTATGACGACATCCAGCCCTCCCCAGGCTGGAACCGGCCCCTTAGCCCGGACAAGAACCCTCCCAACAGTTCCGCTTCCATAGCCTGCATGGTTGGTCTACCACTTCTCCTCCTCCTCCTCCAGAGCTGCCTGTGGTAATTTTTTACTCCCACCTCAAGTTGCGCAGGGAATGTGGTTGTCTTCCTGTTTTTTATCCTCCTGGGGATGGTCTCACTATTTCATCGCCTGCTGTGCTTCAAGCTTTCTCTCTGCACCCATGGGGTGCAGAGAACACAGCGGGATTCCATTAGGAAGCGGTACGAAGCCCAAACAGACTCCTGAGGTGGTCATTGCGCGTGCCTCTTGTAAATCCACCTGCGGTCTGGGTCTAGCATGTGGTTTTTTAAAAAGTTCACACTTCACTCCTATCCGTGGCTTTTACTCTCTAATTCATAATTTCCGGGAGTATCTTTTTTTTTGCCTCTTCCCCACTGGCCACGACTTGCTTGGCCTTTTAAAAATCATAGTTGGATACAAATCTGTAATAAACCTTTTTTTTGCTACTGCGGACATAATTTCATAAGTCAGTGGGAGCATAGTCTCCTTTTTAGGCAAACTGTATGACTAATCTCTTTGTTGAGTATCTGGCGCTCTTCTCCAATTGCATTCCTGGCATACATTTTGAAACGTGATCGGTTTCAAGACAGGTTCCTCTCTCTGCCCAGTTCCTCCTTTCCTGCTCATAATGTGAATGTGTAGCCTTCCTAACTGTTGCTGTGAAGGCAAGGTCCTCCACAATAGTTGGGACATTGTTCGAGGACCAAAGTTGAGCCCTTTGAAGAGAATCAGTCAACCGAATCCTTTCTTCCTTAGGATTCAATTGAGATCGCGCTCGGGTATCTTGCCCAACTGGACAGTTCAGAGAGCAGCACAATGTACCCTAACGTAATTTCTCCCTCTTAAAAGATCCCTGTCTTGCCAAGTATATAATGCCATTAGTAACTTGGATGATGGGGGATTTTCACAGGGTTAGCAGTTCTACTCTTAGGCTGTTATGGTCTCAGCTTATGAGGAAGAGGTCAAGGACACTGTTGGATAAGTACAGTGCAGCCACCAAGCTCTGAAAAAGGCATATATTCTATAGGGCCCCTTCTACCCACGTTTGGTTTACTTGACCCTCATTTTTCTCTCTTCCGGGCTCCCTCTCTGACTTGGTATTTACCCACCCCTCCTTCTGGCTCACAGACTGAATAAAAAAAAAGACTCAGCGGAGGTGCTGGGACTTTGAAACCAACCTGTTGCCTTTTGATCTTTGGCTGGGTGATTAGGCCCACTTCTGCTTGCAGCTAGCTTTGCGGTTTTGCCTGATTTAAGCTGGAATTGTGCAGGGGTGGAAACTTAGCCTCTGGATGTTTCTGCTGTGTAATTTATGAATCCCTCCAAGCTGGGGCGAAGGCTGAGAGCAGAGATTCTGGGCTGTTCTTGTGTGTGGACACCTCAGTTCAGAGATACCATCGGGTGGTTTTCGTTCTGGGTTACCAATTGTCAGCCTGACAGATTTATGGAGTAGTACGACTCCCGATGTGAAGGAGATGAAGGGGATTGCTTTTTTCCCCAAGGATGCTTGGACAGAAATGCTGCCAGCATGGACGCCAAATAAAAAGGAGTGGGACTCCTTTGCGGGAACTTCAATGATGATCAAAATTGCCCTCTCAGGGGAGGGGGGGGAGGGTTGCAATTGTATTAGATAATTTATGTTTGCACACACTTTAAAAAAAAGAGTAATGTACACATCATCTTTTAAGGAAGGATTGAAATCAGTTGCTGCTTTTGAGATGAAGGGTTTTAATAAAGTAAATGGTAATTCTACACTAATAACGGCGTTTATTTGTTGCCAAAGGGAAGCTTTGTGGACTTTTATCTCACAAGAAACGTCACGGGGGAACTAGAGAAAATGTACAGATTGCGAAGCAGTTGCTTATGAGTATTAAGATACACAGGTAGAGTTCTCCAAAAGGCATGCAGGAAGTGGATGCCAAACAACCGGGATCTGGATTGTCTACAGCCGAGCATAATGACTCATGCAATTGATCTTGTCACGTGAGCTGTACAGTGAATACCTGGCATGAGGTGGTCAAGAGTTTGGGATTATGATAGATGTGCAATTCTTACACAAAACTGTCACCAGACCCAAGCTAATCAAGAAAAACAAACCAGTCATATTGGGCAAGTGAGGCTTCATTAAGGTTGACTGTTAGGACGATTAACACCTTGGCATGCTGCTGTTAGTCAAACCATGTGGAAATGAGGAAGAGGTGCATTAGTTAACCCCTTCACAGCAGGGTGACAAGTGATAACTACCTGTTGTGAAAAGGACATAGTTTCTGTGACCTAAGCTTATTGATACAAAGCCAGTCTTCACTTCCTGCTATGGGATTGTTCCTCTTTAGAAGGATCTTTTCTCTAGTTTACCTTTCCCAGGGTCGTTCCTTGTCATTTACAGGTTTTTTTCATTGTGCCCCCATTAAAGATCAGCTGTAATTCTGGTACATTAGTCATAAAATGGCACAGTAACTTGTGTTATGTTTTTTTTTTATTAAAATATTTCTTAAGCAGAACACACTATATATATATGGTATACACATTAAAAACTACAGCAACTCTGTGAATAGATGTTCCTACCCAAGACATCCACCACAAGCCTCAGGGTCCCTCCCCAAATCACTCTCCCCCAAAACAACGAAAGTATGCAAGGACCTCAGCGGAAACCGGTGGTGCAAATAGCGACAGGTTTTTCTCTTCGGTCCACTTGATCGCTTCAAGAGACTTCTGATCTTTTGGCAAAGTCCCTCCTCAGTTGATCACCACCAAACGCGGTTCATGCCATGGAAGGGGAAATATCAAGTAATTCCACCATAGCCTTGTAGTCAGTTTTCTCCAATCCGGAGTTCGTCCATTCGTCTGAGTAAAGGCTGTGTTTTAGAAGGGCAGCTAAGTTTAAAAGCATGTTTCCCCCCCCCCCGCTGCTCTTGTTCAGCGTTTTGTTCCAAGAAAGAACCATTTACTTTGAGGCACTGTAAAAGGAATTGGTAAATTCCTTTTAGTTACATCATAGAAGCCAACACTGCACTATGGAACAGCCTCGGAAGTGACATCAGACTTTTATATGTGCCTATTTCCACTTTCCTGAGTCTTTAACACCCAAATCCTGACTCTCGTGCTACGGGTTACCAAGCATTGTAACTCTAATACATCTTATATTTTTGTCAGCACTGACCTTAAATGTTGACTGTGGAGCAAGTGATACTACTTGAAAACATTCTCTCCCTCTTTTCCCACTTTGCTAACAGCCGTGGGACAGTGGAAGGATTCAAGCTACTTATCTAGCATAACTAAGAACATGTATGAGCTTTGATAGAATGTACAAACTTGCCTCCCTTTGAAGATATGGAGAGCGACAACAGATCTACCAAGAGGGACCATTTTCTCAAGAATTACAGAAGACACAGATTTTTTTTCTCTTCAAAATGTTGAGCAAGGCTGATTGTTTCATATTTCAATAAGTTGGAGATCTCTTTTGGAGACGTCAATCTTCCTTCTTATGATAATCAATAATCTAGTTTTCCTATTACTGATAGTAATCACGGCTTCCCAACTTTTGTTGACTATGTGCTCTCCAAATAGCCAATCCCTGCATTTATTTACTGCTCAGGTCTCGTTCTGCCACAGTTCTGCCATACTGAATGACCCGCTTGATTCTGGGATTGGTAACATCCCGAAGTCAGTTAGAACTGTCAATTCGAAATAATAAAATGATTTATCTGCTCTTTTTATGATATGAATGAAGATACCAGTTCCGACTTAGAGAAGACACCAAGTTTAGAAAGAAAGAAAGAAAAAAAGAAAGTTCTGTATCGAGCAACAGAAAAAAAGGGGGATAAAATAAGTAGTCTTCATTCAAATGAACCCACCTGTTTTCAGGTGTTTCTCATAACCCCAAGCTACCTGTTCCATGTATGCCTTTTCAGTACAAGACTGACAGCAATGTTAAATTAGTGAACGTCTTCCAAAATAAAAAAAAGCAGATGTGAAGCCAAACCCTTTCCATTTTTCAAGTCAGTTTTTCCTTCACTTCTTGGAAATCTTGGCTTGCTTGTGTTTAGGAGGTGCCCATCTCAGGCAGAGAGAATCCACTGGAGAGAGAGAGAGAGAGAGGAAAAAAAAAAAAGGGGGGGGGAAGGAAATAAGAAATCTTAATGGGTCTGAACAGGTAAGTGGAAAAGGGCAGAGCAGTCAAACAAAGTCCATCACTATTTCAAATATCATGGGCATGGATGTCCTTCCTGAGTAGGCTGATGAAAATTCAACAGGTTAATCAAATTGAGTGTTAGAGAAAGCGCAACAGATACCATCCTGAATAAAATTATGCCTTGGACTAGTAACAGCAAACACAAAGGCAGGTGTGCCCTTTACCTACAAGCGTTCATTTAGGGACTGTCTGAAGTTACAACAGCATTAAAAAAAAAAAAAGACATATGACTATTTTCCACACCTACAAGCGTTGCAGCATCTCCAAGGTCACGGGAACAAAATTTGGATGCTTGGCAAGTGGCTCATATTTATGACGGTTGTGGTATTCCTTTTGTGACCTTCTGACAAGCAAAGTCAACGAGGAAGACAGATTCGCTTAACAGCCGTGACTCTAACTTAACAACTGCAGTGAGCCACTTAACAGCTGTGGCAAGAAAGGCTGTAAAATGAAGCAAAACTCCTGTCTCGCTTAGCAACAGAAATTTTGGGCTCAGTGGTGGTTGTAAGTCGAGGACTACCTGCAAGGGCCTGGCAGATTCATTCTGGATTTAAGAAGCCCTCTTGGTCATGCAGGCCACCGCGCAAGTGTTTATGCCTTGTTTGTACTGTCTTCGCAACACTCGTGCCCCTCCCAACCGGCAGCTCCTGACCGAGCCGCTTTTTGAAAAGGAAAGAGATCTGGGAGGGGGTCCAAATAATCTCCCTGCAGCTCCTGTTACATAAATGACAAATACCGCAACGTCATCCGCTCCCTGGGGGGGGGGTGGGGTAGAAATAACAATACCTCTTTCAGCAAAAACCTGCAATATCTTGACTTCTTCTGAGATAACTCTTAGTAGATACCGGGCATGATTGCCAATAAACTGAAAAGCGAATTCTTTGGCTTAATTGAGGAAATGGCTTTATAGTGTGGTGAAGAGCCGCTGAAATGTTTCCCCTTTGTAATATACAAATATTTCAGTTTATTTGTGTTTATATTATACCGCAGCTTGTGCTGCAAAACAGGAAAGATCAGGTGTGCATAAACTGCGGTGGTATAAAGCCGAGCCAAGGTTAGATAAACATCCAGCTCTGACTGGAAACTCTGACAAGAACTGCATGCCAGAAGGACACACTATTTGCTGAATGATTTACGTCCCACCAAATATCAAAAGAGACATGCTCTTTTCTAGGCTGCTGTGTTTTTCCTTGGGGGGGGGGGGAAGCAACGCTTTCTACCGAAAAAACAATCTCGGCCTGTGAATGAACATCACTAGCAATAGGCTTCAAATAAAAGGCTAGCATTCGCTCAGCACCTCTTCTGCAATTCCAATACGGTAAACTGAATAAATAATCCTCCCCGGCTAGCTTATGGGAGTTAAGTATTAACTGCCCAGGTTAGTGCAGGGCAAATGAAACCAGTTGCTTCGGAGACTTAACAGTTTGAAGTCCATTCCTTGGAAGGAATCCAGGAATGTCAGTTTAGTTGGGAATAAAGGGCACAGCAAAGACTGGAAAGCAGTTCCATGAATCAGGAAAACTAAAAGGACAGGTTTGGAGCAAGGAGCCTTCAGTGTAGGCAGTAGCTTGAGGAGAGTCCCCATAAACACGAAGGTAAAGAATAGGCAAACTTATGGCACGGGTGCCAGAGGCGGCACTCAGAGGCCTCTCTGTGGGCACGCGTGCCGTCGCCCCAGCCCCGCCTCCCCCCACAGCCCCCCTGGAGGAGAGTCGCGCCAGGCAAGGCCTGTGCGGAGCAGCACAGCCAAGGACACGGCAGCCGGGCAGCGGGGACAAGACTCCACCCTCGCACCCCATCTCGTGCAGTTGATGCTGCGGGGCACAGGCAGAGGGCGTGGCCGCCATGGCACTGCTGGGTCGCCTGGACGATCTGCGGCTAGCCGTGGAGGCAGTGAGCGGTCCTGTGGGTGGGCGGGGGCGGAGCGGGGGTAGGGCAGCTGGGGACGGGGTGGGTGGGACCAGGGCGGAGGGGGGGGGGCAGGGCGGGGGCTGTTTTTTGGGCACTTGGTCTCTAAAAGGTTTGCCATCACTGCCTTAGACCAGTGATGGCGAACCTTTTAGAGACCGAGTGCCCAAACTGCAACCCAAAACCCACTTATGCATCGTCGGGTGCCAGATGGGTGTGGCCCATTGGCTAGGTGTGACCAATTGAGGGGATGGCCCATTGGGTGGGCATAGCTGCGGTGGTAACGGCAGACTGGGTGGGACTAAAAAGTTCAATCAATCAATTCCAACTTTGCAAGATCTTTTTTCCCCCAGAAATTGAAATTGACTGATTGAACTTTTTTTTTTTTTTGGCACACAGCAGTGGAGGCCTAAAGCGAAAAGATTTTATAAAACCCAGCTGAAGGATTAGGACTGGGGCGATGGTGCACGTGCCATAGGTTCGCCACGAGAAGTTGAAATTGACTGATTGAACCTTTTTTTTCTTTTTTTGCACATGGCAGTGGAGGCCTAAAGTGAAAAGGTTTTATAAAACCCAGCTGAACGCCTAGGACTGGGGCGACAGCGCGCGTGCCCACAGAGAGGGCTCTGAGTGCCGCCTCTGACACCCTTGCCATAGGTTCGCCACCACTGCCCTATACCAGGGCTTTTCAACCTTTTCACCCATTGTACCACTTTTAGGATATGGCAATATCCGAGTACCATCAGTCACCTAGCAAGGTGTCAAAAACATAATGACAAAAAAAAGAAAAAGAAAAAAGTGATAAAGTACAGGTAGTCCTCGACTTAAAACAGTTCACTTAGTGACTGTTCGAAGTTACAATGGCACTGAAAAAAGTGCCGCCCAAGACACAGCCAAGCAAGACACCTGCCTGCCCACCCAGCGGCGCTCTTCCTCCTGTCCGAGGTTTTCATTGTTGTGAGCATTTTGTTGAGGATTGGCAGTGGGGGTGGGGTGGGGGGGGTGTTTGGTTTTTATTCCCCCCATCTGCTGGGTGGTTGCAGCAGGTTTTGGTCACTTCACATGATCTTGGGACACTGTGACCGTCATAAATATGAATCAGTTGCCAAGCATCTGAATGTAAATCACAAGACCCTGGAGATGCTGCAACATCCCAGCTGATCCGCGCTTCTTCTGGGCTCAGCAGAAGCATTAAGATCAGCGCCGAGCTCCAGCTGGAGCCTGGTGCTGATCCTGGTGCTTCCACTGAGCCCTGACAGCCCCGAAGAAGTGCCGATCAGCTGGAAAGCGGCACTGATCCTAGCGCTTCTGCTGAGCCCTGACAGCCCTGCAGCTCAGGCCGTCTCTCGCTCAGGCTTGTGCAGTGCTGCCACTGGTTCAGCTCATTCCCCTCCCCCGCTACTTTTATAGGATGGTCGTGTACCACCTGCCAGGTGCCAATGCACCACAGGTGGTACCCGTACCACTGGTTGAAAAGCCCTGCCCTGTACCATTTTGGACAAATGGCTGTCCAGCCATTTGCCTCCAGTGATGTAGCACCCACAACTTTGGAAGGCAAGCTCTTCCACTGATTAATCATTTTGTCAGGAAGTTTCTCCTTAGTTCTAGGTTGCTTCTCTCCTTATTAGTTCCCATCTGTTGCTTCTTGTCTTGCCTTCAGGCGCTTTGGAGAATAGTTTGACCCCCCCCTACTCTGTGGCAGCCCTTGAGATATTGGAAGACTGCTATCATGTCCCCCCTCATCCTTCTCCTCATGAAACTAGACATACCCAATTCCTGACAACTGTTCTTCTTAAGAATGCTGCTTAAGGAAAAATTGGGAAACTGAATTAATTACAGTTAGTCCTCAACCACAATTGATTCCAGAACTACTACTGCTAAGCAATGCAGTCGTTAAGTGAGTTGCGCCCCTTTTTATGACCTTTCTACCACACTCATTTAAGCAAATCACACGGACATTAACCGTAACCAGCTTCCTCCGTTGACTTAGACTTTGGAAACCACCAGGGAAAAGTCACAAATGGCAATCACGCAACCCTTGGATATTGCAACTCTCGTGAATACAGACCGGTTGCCAAGTGCCCAAATTTTGATTACAGGGATTACAGGGACACTGCAATGGTCAGGAGGGTGAGGACTGGTCATAAGTCACTTTTTCCAGCACTGTGGTAACTTCGAATGGTCATTAAATGAATGATCATAAGTCTAGGGCTTAAAGAGATCGCTCTCAAGAACTTTAGAGCACTGGAGATCAGGAAAAACTACAGGCAGTCCTCGACTTACGACCCACAATTGAGGCAAAAATTTCTGTTGTTAAGTAAGACATTTGTTAAGTGAGTTTTGCCCCTTTTTTGCCACAGTTGTTAAGTGAAATCACTGCAGTTGATAAGTTAGTAACCAGGCTGTTAAAGTGAATCTGGCTTCCCCACTGACTTTGCCTGTTGGAAGGTCGCCAAAAGTGATCAGGTGAAGGTCATAAATACGAATTCTGATCACTTGACCAGGGGGATGCTGCAAAGGTTGTTAACTGTGAAAAATGGTCATAAATCACATTTTCCAGCGCTGCTGTAACTTTGAATGGTCACTAAACGAACTGTTTAAGTTGAGGACTACATACATATGTTTCTGAGAAAAACAGACGTATCCATACTCACGCAAGAAAGCTAAAATGACAGAAAACACCACGCACGAGAATAGTTAAAACTGGGAATTTGAAGAAGCAACAGGTGGTGACATGTAGCATTAAAAAGGAAGTCAGTGAGAGACAACACAGTTATTATAAGAACTGCATAGACCAGTGGTTCTCAACCTGTGGGTCGGGACCCCATTTGGGGTCGAACGACCATTTTACGGGGGTCGCCAAACAACGCAGTCCGCCATTTTTTCCCCCTTTTCCTTAGCTGTGCTACTCCCTTTTATTCTATTGGCTTTTGAAAGCCAATAGAATAGACTCTCTTGAATAGAGTCTAATTCTATTGGCTTTCAAAAGCCAATAGGAATTGTCCAGGCTGTCTCTGCCCTGCTGAGCCCGCCAAAAGTCCCATTCTGCAAACGGTGCTGCACCAGTTGAGTAGTCCTCGACTTACGACCGGTTGATTAGTCCTCGACTTACGACCAGTTGGGGGGTCGCGGCATTAAAAAGGTTGAGAACCACTGGCATAGACAAAAAACAAAACAAAACAAAAAGGTTGGGGATTGCAGGCCCAGAAGTTAAATCTAGCAAATTTTAACAATCTGGCAGGAGTTGATTTCAGTTCTGCTCTCCCTGCAGATCTGGAAATTGTACCCAGGCAAAGAGAGAAAGAGAAGGACGAATACCACCACGTTAAAGAGCCCGTGCGGATCTAACGCCGCACATCAGGCTTTCTGAGAGCATGATTAATCACTAGTGCGTCCCGCCCACCGTTTCCCTGTTCGGCATTACCTGTGATAGGCGGCTTCTTATACTGAGCGCTTTTGAGATGTTCCTCCACCAACTTGGGAGTGACGCAGATGACATGCTGCCCCTTCCAATACTTGACCATGTTCAGGGACTGCAAGGTGCTGATGATGTCATTCTGCGTGATGCTCGTCATCTGGCTGTACCAAGGGAAACAACAACATGCGCAACGTCAGCTGGAACGAGTACAAGATAAGGGGAGGTCAGGAGTCCTTTCCAATAGGCCACATTAACGCTCAATCAATCACAGAAGGGCATGCAGTCCTCCCTCAGCACCAGCCTCACTATACGTTGTTAAGCCGTGCCCAATTTTGTGACTTTTACCCTGGTGGTTAAGTGAATCACTGCCATTGTTTTAAGTGAACCACGTGGTCATTAAGCGAATCTGGCTTTCCCCATTGACTTTGCTGGTTGGAATGTTTACAATGTCAGTATATTGCCCCCCCCCCAACAATCCAGGTCCCTCATTTTACCGACCTCGGAAGGAGTCAACCTTGAGCCCCTTCAGGATCGAACTCCAGGCTGTGAGCAGAGTTAGTCTGCAATTCTATTCCATTGGCATCCTTCAGTCTTGAGAGACTATGGCCGTGGTGGCGAACCTATGGCACGGGTGCCAGAGGCGACGCACGGAGCCCCTCTCTGTGGGCACATGTGCCGTTGCCCCAGCCTCGCCTCCCCCCGTGACCCCCTCCTCTCCAGCAGCCCCCCTGAAGGAGAGTCGCCCCTGAGTGTGGCCCACACGGAGCAGCACAGCCAAGGACATGGCAGCCAGGCAGCGTAGACAAGATTCTGCCCTCACACCCCATCGTGCACAGTTGATGCTGTGGGGCGCGGGCAGAGGGCGTGACTGCCATAGCGCTGCTGTGCTGCCTGAGCAATCTGCGGCGGGCCGTGGAGGCGGTGAGTGGCCCTGTGGGCAGGTGGGACGGGAGATGGGAGGGCGGGGGGGGGCAGGGGGTGGAGCAGCGGCGGGGCCAGTTTTTGGGCACTTGGTCTCTAAAAAGGTTCGCCATCACTGGACTATAGTATCGTGCTCTGGAAAGAGGTCCTAAGGCAGCATCTGGTGTGGTTTGAGAATGGCAGTCCCTTCCACATTGAGGGCAGATACAATCTGTCCCCTGTCCAGCCCCCAGATTTTGCTGGTTCCGGGACTGCCTCTTTGCCTCAGCCTCCCACACAAGTGTCTCTTCGAATTGGAGAAGGCCATGCTGTGTCTTTAGCCTCCAGGCTGAACGATCAGAGGTCAAGGATTCCCAGCTGTTAATGTCCATTCCCAAGGCCTTTAGGTCCCTCTTGCCGATATCCTTATATCGCAGCTCAGGTCTCCCTCTGGGGCGTTTTCCCTGCACTAGTTCTCCATACAGGAGATCTTTCGGAATTCGACTATCAGCCATTCTCACGACATGCCCAAGCCAGCGTAGGCGTCGCTGTTTCAATAGTGCAGACATGTCAGACACAAGGCCCGGGGGCTGGATGCAGCCACGGTGTGGTTTCATGTTGCCCGCGAAGCCATCCTGGAAACAGTGAGGGAACAGCCCCCTCTGCCTTAGCCTTAGCCCAGGCCAGCCAGGAGCCAATGTACAATTTTGTGGTGGCCATCTATACTGAAACACATTCAGTCTTAGCTCCATGAGCCCCCTCCCCCCCGCATGGCCTGAGAGGAACAGTGAGGCTCCTCCAGTGGACCATGCCTTGGCACTTGTCCTGGTCCCACCCCCTTCTGCCAGAGACCCTCAGATCTGCCCCACTCCTGCCCAGGCTCCCACAGGTGTCCTTGACATGGTGTAGAGCTGGCCACACCCACCCAGCAGGCCACACCCACTCCATCCACATCCACCCAGTACGCCACACCCACCCAGCCCCCTAAGGGCAACCGCAATGCTGATGCGGCCCTCAATGAAATTGAGTTTGACACCCCTGCAATAGTGTATACATGCTAGAGCAGGATTTTTCAACCAGTGGTACGGGTACCACCTGTGGTAGATTGGCACCTGGCAGGTGGTACGCGACCATTCTAGAAAAGTGGTAGCGGGGAAGGGAATGAGCTGAACCGGTGGCAGCACCGCACAAGCCTGAGCGAAAGATGGCTGGAGCTGCAGGGCTGTCAGGGCTCAGCGGAAGCGCCAGGATCAGCGCTTCATTGGAACTGTCAGGGCTCAGCGGAAGCACCAGGATCAGCGCCAGCCTCCAGCTGGAGCTCGGCGCTGATCCTGGTGCTTCTGCTGAGCCCTGAAGAAGCACCAATCAGCTGGAAAGCAGCACTGATGCTGGCGCTTTTGCTGAGCCCAGAAGAAGCGCCGATCAGCTGGAATGTTGCAGCATCTCCAGGGGTCTTGTGATTTACATTCAAATGCTTGGCAACTGATTCATATTTATGACGATCACATGTCCCAGGATCATGTGAAGGGACCACAACCTGCTGCAACCACCCAGCAGACCGGGGGGGGGGGATAAAAACCAAACACTCCCCGCACCCCACCCCCACTGCCAATCCTCAACAGAAATGCTCACAACAATGAAGACCTTGGACAGGAGGAAGAGTGCCGACGGGTGGGCAGGCAGTTGTCTTGCTTGGCTGTGGCTTGGGGGGCACTTTTTTCAGTGCTATTGTAACTTCGAACAGTCATTAAGCGAACTGTTATAAGTCGAGGACTACCTGTACTTTATCACTTTTTTCCCTTTTTTTGTCATCAAGTTTTTGACACCTTGCTAGGCGACTGGTGGTACTCGGATATTGCCATATCCTAAAAAGTGGCACAATGGGTGAAAAGGTTGAAAAGCCCTGTGCTAGAGATTCCAGCACATTCCAGGACTGCGCTATTTGGGACTTTGTCATGCCAAGTGATGCTGAGAATACGTCGGAGACAGCGCATATGAAAAGTGTTCAGCTTTCTCTCCTGCCGTACGTGAAGGGTCCAAGACTCACTGCAGTACAAGAGTGTGTTCAAGACGCAGGCTCTATAGACCTGGATCTTTCTATGTTCTGTCAACATATTCTGTCAACTTCTTATTAAGCCATACTCTCTTTGTAAGTCTGGAAAATGTGGTGGCCGCTGCAGAGTTTGTCTGCAATACTGCGCTTTAAGCACTGTGCCACAAGGGCTTTTATTTACATTCTACAAACAGCTCTCAACTGACTGGTAGTCAAACCTCCTCTTACCTGAGATCCTTGATGGAAAGGGTGCCTCGGAAATCCCGAAGGATCTCTAGTAACACCCATGACCAATAGCTGCGGTAGCTCAGCTTGCCGAGGTCCGAAAGGGGCTTCTCGGGGGATCCCACTGTGCTTTCAAGTTTGGAGAGCTCATAGCCTGGGGAAGAAGAGATCAGAAGTCAAGGCCTCAAAAGCGTCTCAGTTCAGAATCCAGGCATTTCGAGGGCAAGGAAAAGCTCAGACCGGATCAGACTCACACTTTTTAATAAAGGGACTTCAAAATGGAAAGACTAAATGAGACATGTCAAACACAAGGGCCGGGGGCCGGATGCGGCCCATGAAGTGGTTTCATGTGGCCCGCAAAGCCATCCTGAAAGCAGTGAGGGAATGGCCCCCGCTGCCTTGGCCATGGCCCAGGCTGGCCGGGAGCCAATGTACAATTTTGTGGTGGCCATCTATGCAGAAATGCATTCAGTCTTAGCTCCATAAGCCCCCCCCCCCGCATGGCCTGAGAGGAACAGTGAGGCTCCTCCAGTGGACTATGCCTTGGCACTTGCCCTGGTCCCACCCCCTTCTGCCAGAGACCCTCAGATCTGTCCCACTCCTGTCCAGGCCCCCACAGGCACCCTTAATGCAAATGATGTAGAGCTGGCCACACCCACCCAGTAGGCCACACCCACTCCATCCGCACCCACCCTGGCCACACCCACCCGCCCCCCTGAGGGCAACCACAATGCTGATGCGGCCCTCAATGAAATTGAGTTTGACACCCCTGGACTAAATACGTAGCACCGTGACTCTGGCTGAGGAATTCTGGGAGTTGAAGTCCACAAGTCATAAAAAGGCCATGTTTGAAGACCCCCTGCCCTAAAGCGATCAGGATAGCAGAGGTGTTACAAAAGGGGGGGGGAGGAGGTAGGGCAGATGCAACAGAAGTTAACTTGTCACCGGGGGTAGGTGGGTACAATAGATCTATCTACAGATCCAACCCCAGGAAGCAATTAAGAGACTGATAATCAACTCTGCAATTCATTTTTATCATTCATGGCTGAGAAAAGAACAGCTTACTGAATGCAATGAGGAATTTCCCATAGCCCCGTCTCTGGTAAGGGGGCAAGGTTAGAATACAAGCGACATTATTCCCATCTGGGGATTCCTTTTCCTAGAAGGGGAAAAAAAATCACAGGAGTCAGGTAAATGATGTTATGAAATCTAGCCTCAAGCAGAGTAATCAACATCCAGAAAATTGTATTTCTTTTAAAAATAGTCACCAATTGCACCCATCATATCTGGCAACCCTAAAGGTAACTTTGGAGAAAAGCTTGCTCCACTGTCACGGATAAAATCCATGCTTGCTCTCCTGCTGCAAACTCTCTCTAAGCTGATCTTGATGCTGATTTATTTATCACCTTCCTTCCTTAAAAATTTTTGAATTACTTATTACATGTATACTCCATCGATCATCCAAGAGCTCAAGGTAGTCTGCCTATCAGGTTCTTTTCCAATTTAATTCTAAGAGCAACCTATGACCATAGGGCAGTGGTGGTGAACCTATGGCACGGGTGCCAGAGGCGGCACTCAGAGCCCTCTCTGTGGGCACGTGCACCATCGCCCCAGTCCTAGGCCTTCAGCTGGGTTTTATAAAACCTTTTCGCTTTAGGCCTCCGCTGCCATGTGCAAAAAAAAAAAAAAAAGGTTCAATCAGTCAATTTCAACTTCTTGCAGGAAAAAAAAAAGATCCTGCAAAGTTGGAATTGATTGAACTTTTTAGTCCCACCCAGTCTGCCGTTACCACCACAGCCACGGCCACACAATGGGCCACACCCACCTGGCATCTGACGATGTATAAGTAGGTTTTGGGTTGCAGTTTGGGCACTCGGTCTCTGAAAGGTTCGCCATCACTGCCATAGGGTGTTTCTGACTCGTAGTGATTGACCCTGCATAATTCCAGGATTGTGTGGGGACTTGAATTCAGTCCACTTCTCCACACAGATTTTTGTTATGGAGTCTGCTCCATTGCAGGTTTTTAATATTACATTGAATTTTCGCGGCAATAAAGTGTTCCTTATGTCTGTGGTTAAAGTTTTCCAAGTGCGGTATTGCAGATTTCAGAGGAAACCAGAGACGCCAAGATCTCTCCCTTTCACACACACACACACACACACACACACACACACACACACACACACACAGACATGCACAGAGAGTAATTTCTTCTTCTCTCTTTCCCTGTCATGTTTCTTAAATTATATTTTCTTCTGAGCTTTTTTTTACCAGACACTAATTTTAAAGGCACAGAAATAAGATTCTAAGTCAGTGGTTCTCGACCCCATTTGGGGTCGAATGACCATTTCACGGGGGTCGCCAAACCACGCTGTCCGCCATTTTTTTCCCTTTTCCCTAGCTGTCCTACTCCCTCTTATTGGTGGCCACACCTACTTGGGGGTCACCACAACATGGGGAACTGTATTATGGGGTCACGGCATTAGAAAGGTTGAGAACCACTGTTCTAAGTGCTCACACGGGATGCTCGTAAAATAAAAAGTGAACTAAAACTCTTAATTTGGAAGATTTGCTGAATTATTTGGATCAGCCATGGTTCCGTAGAACTGAAAGCCAGAAGGCTCGGATAATGGACTACAAAATAAAACATGGATGGAGTGAATAGGACCGGTATACATGGCCGCTCTTGTAAAAACTCCCGATCTTCATATGGCCCTGATCTTCCAGACCCTTTCCTTCTCTCCCTTCCCAAAACCACTCCTGATGTCCCTGTGGCCATTTTGTCCCTCCCAATCTTCCTAGGGCAGCGGTGGCGAACCTTTTAGAGACCGAGTGCCCAAACTGCAATCCAAAACCCACTTATTTATCGCTGGGTGCCAGGTGGGTGTGGCCCACTGGGTGGGCGTGGCTGCGGTGGTCATGGCAGACTGGGTGGGTGTGGCCAAGGTGGGCCTGGTCACCTCAATGTTGCTTGTGGGGAGGGATGCCTGTGGGGGCCGGGCAGGGTTGGGGGAGACCCAGGGGGTCTCTGGCAGGTGGGGCAGTGGGCAGAAGGCTCATCCTGCGGGGTGAGGCGAGGCAGGGCAGGGGGTGCCATTGTCGCAGGGCAAGGCGAGGCAGGGGTGGCTGCTGCCTGACACCATCGGTCCCCGTACACAGAGGCCAGCAAGTGCATGGCAGCCTTCAGTGTCTGTCAGCAGCCACAGCCTGCCGGCCCCTCAACAGGCGCACTCTGAGGCTCCACAGCCCGCCGCCAGCAATTCAGAGAAGCCACCTCTGAGCTTGACGGCTGGCCAACAGCTGAGGAGGTGATACGGTGGGTCGTGCCTGGGAAAAGGAGAGCATGCGAGGCCAGGATAGACGGGGGGGGGGGAGGGAATCCAGCCGGGCTAGGATGCATCTGGCCATGTGGGATCTCGGCGAGTTAGCGGGCAGATGGTTGAAGAGGGACGGTTGCCATCTCCGGGACATGGTGCGCGTGCCCAGAGAGGGCTCTGAGTGCCGCCTCTGGCACGCGTGCCATAGGTTCGCCACCACTGTCATAGGGCCTTCTCTCACCCATCACCACTGTTCTCCTTGACTTTTCCCCCTGTTCACATCTATCCCAAAGCACTTGTGCTTAAAGCAACTGTGTTTTAGTCTACAGGGCAAAAGACCCCAAAGAGCCTCCATGTCAGGGAACTGAGCAGCAGGGGTCCAAATGGAGTCAAAGACGCTGACACAAACTTAAGAGACACAACGCACCTAAAACCAGTAGCGCACAAAATATTTCGCGTAGCCGTAGAATTTATCCACTTTTTCGATCACAAAGTTAGTTACAATGCATTCCCCAATCCGTGAACACCAGCAGTCAGTACCTTGGAAAAGTAGCCAACGATATGGGCTCCTTGCCTGTCCACCTCAGTAAGGATGTAGAAGACAAAGGGCTCCACGTCAAAGTAGAGGGTCTTATGATCCAGGAATAGTTTGGCCAAAAGACACAAATTCTGGCAATAAATCTGGGGGGAAAAGGAGCAATAAGGACATAGGCTTCAGACAAAAAAAAATATGAAATCCAGGAGCAAAGAGGAGAAACTTCCTGAGAGTGAGAACAATTAATCAGTGGAACAACCTGCCTCCAGAAGCAGTAAATGCTCCAACACTGGAAGTTTTTAAGAAGAGACTGGACAGCCATTTGTCTGAAATGGTGTAGGGTTTCCTGCCTGAGCAGGGGGTTGGACTAGATGACCTCCAAGGTCCCTTCCAACTTTACTATTATTATTATTATTAAAGAGGAGTGTTGGCTCATTCCTTATTGAAACAAACAAACAAAAATGTATTTCTGAGATAAACTTTCTAAAAGAAGAGAATTTCATTCACAACTATAACTTATCTAAAATTAAAATTTGTTTTTTTAGAGTGAGAAACAGTATCTCCAACTTGTTCAAAAAGCCAAGAATGCATGTAAGAAAAATAAACTTTGTGTCAGGTGCCTTCTTTTGAATCTCACATGCAACTCAATGGTTCCTTTTTTGAACCAGGCCTATCTGGGCCATTCTGTGAGCAGCCTGACAGTCTTCTATAAGTTAATCTTCCAAAGCAATTCTGGATGACACAGGCCTGTTTCAGGGCTGGTCTTGTGTCCCAGAATTATCATTTTGCCCACCCCGATTTGCAATCATTCTGAAGTTGATTCTTTGAAAAGAAAATGAATTCTCTGGTTGCATTTCATATTCTACAGCAGTGCTTTTCAACTTTGGCAAGTTGAAGATGTATGGACTTCAACTCCCAGAATTCCTCAGCCAGCTTTGGGGAATTCTGGGAGTTGAAGACCACACATCTTCAACTTGCCAAGGTTGAGAAACATTGTTCTACAGCAGGGATCTTCAAACCTGGCCCTTTTATGACTTGTGGACTTCAAGTCCCAGAATTCCTCAGCCAGCATGCCTGGCTGAGGAATTCTGGGATTTGAAGTCCACAAGTCATAAAAGGGCCAAGTTTGAAGACCCATGTTCTACAAGTGTCTCATATATTCCATAACTTCCTGATTGGTCTTCTCAAAATTTAGATGCAACCAGTTCTTAACTATGATTTTTTCTGCAGTAATAGTTCAATAGAAGAGCCTTCATGTCAGGGAATTGAGCAGCCGGTGTCCAAAATGGAGCCAAAGACACTGACTTGTAGTGTTATATAAATAAATATATTTTACATTTATATTTACAGCAGATAAGATAGACAGGTACACACTAAGATCATGAGGTAAATCACAGAACAGAGCACATAGAAAAGGGAAACTCCCCCTTCTCAAGCAGCAACCAATCATAACGTAGATTGCCTCATGCAGGAGCTCGCACTGTCCAATCAATCAACTACAACTGTGTGCTCTGTTCCAGTTATTAAATTAAATATCTTAAAACTCCATATTACTATTCACGCTTAAGACTGCCCTTCCCCAACCTGGCACCCTTTAGCTAGTATGTGCTGCCAAATTTGCATCAGCTCCTACATGGACCTTTTCCATTTGTCCCCCAACTGGTCCTTCAGGACTTCCAATGGTGCAGATATCACCACCGTAATAGAGACCCTCCATCTTCCTGAAGTTCGTCTTTCTCTTGCCTTCCATCTTTCCCAGCATCAGAGCCTTCTCCACAGAGCTGAGTCGTTTATATAATATGTCTGCGGTAGGATAATTTGAGCTTGGCCATTTTGCGCCTTGAGTCACAACTCTGGGCTTATTTGCTCAATGAGTCATTTGCTTGTTTTTAAGATACATCCTTTAGAAATTCTGGACAGCTCTCAAAAAATGTTTTTGTTAGTACCGTCACAAGACAACTGGATTTTTTTTTCCCTTGAAAATGTTTTGCTTCTTATCCAAGAAGCTTCAGCACGTGTAAAAATAAGCTAGGGCGGGGGTGGGGAATTGAACACGCGCCACGCACCCACTTACTTTAGGACTGCTGCAGCCAGGCCTCCCACACCCTGACACGCTGCTGCTTGAGTTCTGCGGCCACTTGCAGCCAGATGCCACGTGGCACATCGTGCCAGGCAGGCCGTGTGGAGCATCGCACTGCCGTGCGTGTGAGCAGTGGCACTGGCGCAATGCACCACGCAGCCTCCTGCCATGAGTGGTGGCACTGGAGCGAAGTGCCACGTGTCCAGCCATGAGCGGCTGAAGAACTTGGGCAGCAACGCGACAGATGTTGGCGCATAGGAGGCCTGGCTGCAGCAGTCCAAAGTGGGTGCAGAGCGCGTGGGGCAGCTCCCCCCCCGCCCTAGCTTGATTTTTACGTGCGCCTCACCCCAAAACTATTTTGGGGATAGGGCTTATATTAGGCGCAAACATAAAAATCAAGCTAGGGCTTATTTTCAGGGAAACATGGTATGACCTGGATCAGGGGTCCTCAAGCTTGTCAACTTTTAGACTTGTGGACTTCAATTCCCAGAATTCCTCAGCCAGCTTTGCTTAAAGTTGCCGAGTCTGAGGACCCCTGACCTGGATGGCTGAGAATCTCCATAGACCTGTTGGCACCGTGTTCCATGTAATTTGCGATCTTTGATGTAGCTATTTCTATATCAAAAGATTGAAGGTTGGAGGCTATTGGCCCACACAAATTTTATCTGCATACAGGTAGTCTTCGACTTTCAACACGTTCGTTTAGTGATTGTTCAAAGATACAAAGACAATAATAAAAAGTGATTTATTACCATTTTTCACATGGCCACTGCAGCACCCCCTGTGGTCACGCGATCAAAATTCAGATGTTTGGTAACTGACTCATATTTATGACAGTTGCAGTGTCCCGGTCAACTTTTGCAATCTTCTGACAAGCAAAGTCAAGGGAGAAACCAGACTCACTTAACAACCATGTTGTTAACAACTGCGATTCACTTATTAGCTGCAGCAAGAAAGGTCAAAATTTGCTTAACCCGTCATTCAGCAGCAGAAAGGTTGGGCTCAACTGCGGTCGTACGTTGAGGACTACCTGTGTAGGCTGGCTTATTTAAAAGCAACTTGCAAATGTGGGGAGAGGTAAAATTATATAGTAGTTAATGACTGTTTATGACTCTGCTGAGCGACTGGCTTTCTATCTGATGAACCAGATTTTCCAAACAGTGAAGATGGCAAATGCCAGGTTCCCAAAATAGCAAACGGGCCGCCTAGACCACAAAAAGTGAACACAGCTTAGTGGAAATCCCGGAAACCTCTTACCTTGTGATCTTTGCCATCCACCTCATATACTGAGATGTTGTTTTTGCGGTAGATTTCTTTCCCTGGTGGTTGTCGCCACTCACACTGGCCCTGAAGCAACGATAAGAAGAACTATGGGTACCAAAAATGACAGGTATCTATGGGGTTTTTTTTCTCCTGAGGAATTCTACCTACAAACCAGTTCAATACCCCTTTTGCATCTATTTGTCTTTGACCTGATTATTTTTCTCCAGTTTCATTTTAGCATCGTCTGTTTAGATTTCTCCAGCTGGCAACATTGAAAATAGTGAAACTAAACGCAGGTAATCCTCAATTTCATTTAGTAATCCTCAACTTCATCAAGTTCATTTAGTCGCTGTTCAAAGTTACAACGGCACTGAAAAACAGTGACTTAAGACTATTTTTCATATTTACGATCACTGCGGCATTCCCCATAGCCATGTGATCAAAATTCAGCCACTTGGCAACAACTGACTCATATTTATGACCGTTGCTGTGTCCTGGCATCCTGTGATCACCTTTTGCAACTCTCTGGCAAGTAGTCAATGGGGGAAGCGGGATTTGGTAACAACCAGTTACTACTGTAACAACTGCAGTGATTCACGTAACAACTTGGAAAGGTCTTAAAATGGGGCCAAATTCATTAAACAAAAGTCTCGCTTAGTGACCAAAATCTTGATCCCCACTGCGATTAAGTCGAGTATCTGTACACAAGTTCAAATATACTGATATGCACTGATCCCCAGATGCCATTTTCTCTTTTTGATAAGTGTGTCATTCCACTTACAGCAGGGGTGTCAAATTCAATTTCATTGAGGGCCGTATCAGCATTGTTGTCCTCGGAGGGGGGGTAGGTGTGGCCAGGGTGGGCGCGGCCTACTGGGTGGGCATGGGAGTGGGTGTGGCCTACTGGGTGGGCATGGCCAGCTCTACATCGTTCGCGTCAAGGGGGCCTGGGCAGGAGTGGGACAGATCTGAGGGTCTCTGGCAGAAGGGGGTGGGACGGGGCAAGTGCCGAGGCATGATCCACTGGAAGAGTCTACTGAAACCCCTCCCCTGGAGCCCATCAAGCCAGATATGTGAAGTAGGCAAGGGCTATTTCCAGGCGATGGTGCATTTCTTCATTCCTCACAAAAGGTGACACCTCCCCAGCATGCACCCAGGGGCTGGTTCCTCGCTGTTTCTAGATGGCCTTGTGGAGCTAAGACTGAATGCGTTTCAGCATAGATGGCCACCACAAAATTGTATATTGGCTCCCGGCCGGCCTGGGCCAGGACCAAGGCAGCGTGGGCCGTTCCCTGTTTCCAGGATAGCTTCGTGGGCCACATGAAACCACGTTGTGGCCGCATCCAGCCCCCGGGCCTTGTGTTTGACATGTCTGGCTTACAGGCTCTCTGGTGCTCAATTCTCTCCCACCCCAACCTTCCCCAGCCCCCTGGCAACTATCCTCCCCCTTGCGTACAAGGTGATAGCGGTAAGTCTTCTCAAACTTCATATACTTGAGGCAGTATTCGCAGATCCACAGCTTGGGCTGCTTCCCGTAGTCTTCTGGGAATGGTGAGAAATACCAAGCGTCAATCTCATAGTTCCCAATATGGATTTTGTCCACATATTTCACTTTGGTGATCTGAGAGGGAGACAAAAGTAAGCGGCGTCCTACAAAGACAGTAATAGCCATAGCACTTAAGACTTTATATACCGCTTCATAGTCTTTACAGTCCTCTCTAAGCGATTTTACAGAGTCAGCCTATTGCCCAACAATCTCAGTCCTCACTTCACCGACCTCGGAAGGATGGAAGGCTGAGTCAACCTGGAGCCAGTCAGGATCGAACTGCTGGCAGTCGGCAGAGTTAGCCAGCAATACTGCATTTTGACCACTGTACCACTACAGCTCGTAATACTCCCTTTTCCAAAACTCTTCAAATTTCAAGCCAGACACAGCTAGGCCAGGTATGGATAAATACTCACTGCTTCATGTTCCTTCTCCAAAGCTGCTGTGGTAGGATCCATCTCAGCATACGTCTGCGGTGGGGAAAAAAGCCCAATCTTGTGAGTAACGGCAAGCATTTCCTGGAAAAGCCATCTTCTCCTGCCAGCATAAGGGCAGCAAGAGCACCAAAAATGCAATCGGATACAGGCAGTCCTCCACTTACAACCGTTCGTTTAATGATTGTTCAAAGTTACAACGGCATTCAGTAATTTATGATCATTCTTCACCTTTACCACCATTGCAGCATCTCCAGAGTCATGTGATCAAAAGACACTTAGCAACTGACCAGCAAAGCCAATATGGAAGCCAGATTCACTTAATAGCCGCGTTACTAACTTAGGAACTGCAATGGTTCACTTAACAATTGTGACAGAAAAGGTGGTAAAATGAAGCAAAGCTCACTTAACCGTCTCACTGAGCAACAGAAATATTGGGCTCAATTGTGCTCATCAGTGGAGGACTATCTGTACTCTGTTGTTGTTGGTTTTTTTCCCCTCCCCACCTCTGGAATGGATACAGGTTGTCGTCAACATACGACCATTTGTTCAGCAACCACAGCTTCTCCACTGCCTGAGGCACCCCATGCTCACATGATGACAGCAACATGGAGGGCTGGGATTGCAAGGGTGCTGTGCTTAATGAGAGCAACAATTTAATGATGGTAATAATGGGCTCAACTATGGTCGTGAGTTGAGGATTACCTGTATCTGGCAGCATAGAACAATTCTGCCTTCCCAGCCCCCTCTCCCTTGCATCACCTTTTGGACATGGTTGATTTCATCATGTTTGCGCTTCTGATTGCGCGTGATCTTGCGCTCGGGCTGCTCAGAAAGTTCGTTCATGTATTGATCGGTGTTCTTCTGCACGGCATCTTTGACTGTCTTGGTGAGGGCCAGGCGGTTCTTATCCACCCACTCATCCAGACGTCGGTTGACTGTGAGAGCCAAAGGAGACTTAGGAGATCACAGAAGTCTCACCATTCCCCCTCCAGCCACCCCACATAAAATGTTCTTTAGCTAGAAATTGAAATATGGGAACAAGAAGGTTGATCCACTCTGCCTTGCTCTACTCTGGGGTAAAGAGAAGATAGATTGAAATCTACCGATAAGACTTCTAGATCAGGGACGTTCAACCTTGGCAACTTTAAGACCTGTGGACTTCAACGCACAGAAGTCCCCAGTCAGCATTAAAGGATGCACTTCCCTGATCTAGATCAGTGGTTCTTAACCTGGGCGATATTGCCCCCGAGGGAGCAATTTCATTTTTCAGGGGGGCGATGGAACGAAAAAGGGCGACACGGGGGCAAAGGAATGAAAAGGGGGCGATATGGGGGCGATGGAGCGAGAAGTTTTGGGGACACTTTTGAGACTTTTTCGTACAGTGAATCGCTATATATCTGTCATACAAAAACATCAGATCGCTCACTATTAGTGGATTGAATTGTGTTTTCAAATGTTCTTCCAGCTAGCTTCAGTACAGAATGCCGTACATATGTGAAGACGCATCGCTTATCTTCATGTGCGTTGCACAGCAGCCTCTACCCATACAGTGGCGCGCCATTGGCCAGAATATGGGAGATATGGGAAAAAGACTGGAAATAAATTATTTGCATCGATATGTCCTGATGACAATTTTAAAGAAAACAAAAAAAGTGTTTGCATAAATTGAAGAATTATTTCCTATGTTGTGATTGAGAGGTTGTGTTGGGGGAGGGGGGCGATGACAACTTCCTCATTAGCTCAAGGGGGCGATTCATTCAAAAAGGTTAAGAACCACTGATCTAGATGATCAGTAAAGATTTCTGACTGCCAGTGATTTATCAACAGCAAACAAAAATCACCACCCCAAAGCTCTGACTGTGTCCAAAGTTGCGTACAGTAGCTTCCATTCTAGTACTAGAAAAAACTAAAACCCTGAATCAACATTAAGCAGAGTCTTCATCCTGTTCACCAATAAACACTCTTTCAGCTTCTTCCCAGAGCAAAATATTGAACTAAAGGCATATAATTTTTGTTCTGCTTCTTTTTTCCTTTTTTTCCTACAAACTGGGATAATTGGCAATTTGGGTTACATCACACTGTGCTAAGGCACGCTACGATGGTTCTTTATCTAACACTTTATCATTAGTGTGCAGAAAAAAATACAACCTTACTTAGAAGCCTACCTAAAGCTACATCTAAACTAAATCTCTCTATGCTCATCCGATCTCAAAATGACCTGATGAAACAATTTATGGAAGACTGCAGGGAAAAAAAAAACATAGTTATATTTAATTAGATTAATTTAGCTGGTTAGGAATTCAAGGAATTATCATTCCAGTTTATCTTCACGGCATGAGATTAGGGAAGACTGAACTAGCTAAGACACCTCAAACTTTCTCATCATTACACAGATCAGAATCTCAAAACGGCACTTACATCCTACATAGTGAACATAAAATTCCTCTCTGGCTTCTTGTTCGTTGAGACGAGACTGAATCACCTCTGCAGAATCTGAAGGGGAAGAAACCATCAGTCTGGTTAAAGGACATTTCAGTGATGAAAAGTGAGAAATACAAGTCAGTAAAAAGACTATGAAACACTCTCTTCTTTCAAAAGGGAAACAAGCTAGCATGGAAGTAACCTATGAAAGTTTAGTTCATTCTTACCAGCGAGGCTGGAACCATAGATGTGGGTCTTGTGTAACTAAGTTCAGGAGTATGAACACATAGAAGTTTCCATTTATTTCTACAATACGTAGAAGGATACTTTAGATAAGCGTAACAGAAGAAAAGCCTAATGCTCACTGGAGAAGGGCCTAATGCTGGGAAAGATTGAGGGCAATAGAAGAAGGGGACGACAGAGAATGAGATGGCTGGATGGAGTCACTGAAGCAGTGTGAACTTAAATGGACTCCAGAAGATGGTAGAGGACAGGAAGACCTGGAGGAGCATTGTTCATGGGGTCGCGATGGGTCGGACATGACTTCGCAATTAACAACAACAACAACAGAAGAATAATGAGAATGCACACAGTTACTCCGTGAATGTTTAGTTACAATTAAATTATATGATATTCAATGGATTACTGTCAGATATGCTAAGGATTACAGTCTTAAATGACTGTATTGAGGCTTGAAGCTAGAAGGATAGTCATCAGGCTACTGTTTCAATCTAGCTTTTGGGTTATCATGTATTAGTTTATATGAAAAAGATCCATCCAGGGTGGCTCAAAAAAAAAAGTGTTACCTGCTTCAGATACGATATATGATAGTTTCCTTCTTCTCCATGGGGAAATTGATTAAATGAGGACACCCAAGCATTTCACAATTACGTGTGGCTCGTATTAATGCGGTGTATTACGCTACACAGGATGAATTTGGCTTTCGCGGTTTTACAGCCTTTTTAGCAATAATTAAAATAATTTGAGATGAAAAGTTGTAAATCTAGAATTGTCTTTATAAATAATAATTACTGTGCTAGTGTTGGAGTTTCAGGACATCTAGTGACAAATGGGCTACAGGATTCAGGACTGTTGGCTCAGCAAGTATCTACCCATCATAAATATACAAAGATTGAAAACGGAGAGATAAAGACAAAATGGCCACCAGTCCATTGCAAAAGGCAACATTACTTACAGCAGCTTACACCCTGTGAGGATACTTTTAGTGCCATCAAACAACCTTCATCTGCCTATCCCAGGTCCTCGGGAAGGATTCACGGGTAGACAAAAATGCCAAATTGGGGCTAAACATCTGGCCGACTGGGCAACCAACCACGACGATAATTGTAGAACTCAAAACAGGCAAGCACCTGCCACACCACATCCCAGAATTAACAACTCCCCCTTGTGTTTTTTCTCCACAACAACCCTGCCAATGAGGTCGGGCTCCCGACAGAATGGCCGGCTCAAAGACGGCCACGACCCTTCCACGGACGAGGGTGGACTTGAGGGTGGCCTTCCCCAATATTTGAACTACTACAAGCCACGGGCTGTCCTGATCGTTGAGCCAGGCGCGCGTTAACGACGACCGGGAGCCCTTTCCGACGCCAAGCACAGACCCAGCGCTGAGTAACGGAGGAGAGGGGGCACTTACGCCACGTTCCGTCCCCTCGCCGACACAGGTAGGTCTCTCCGATCTCCACGGTGACTTCAGCCTCGCGAGAAGGCGGCGACGAGGACGGGCGGCTCTGGCTGCCCAGGCCTCCCGCGCTGCCTTGCCTCGGCGCCTCCTCTTCCTCTCGCCCCCCCGGCCCCAGGCGTCGTGGGTCCGAGCCGGGGGGGCTCCCCCGGCCCCCTCCGCCTTCGTCTGCAGAGGAGGCCGTTTCGCCTCCTCCGGACCCGGCCGCCGCTGCCATGACAACCGCCACCGCGACAACTCAGGCGCGCTGAGGACGCCCCGTTCGCATCTAACGGCTCTCCCCCCTCCCGCCCATCTTGCAGGCCCAAGCCGGAAGTGATCTCTCTGGGTCATCATAGAGCGAAAACGTCCCTGCGAAGGCGCATACGAGTGACGCCAGCGAGCCTTGGTCACGTGACACTGCTCGTTCACCTTGCCCTGGGTTGCTGGGAAACTGAGTTCCCTGACTGCCTATATACGTATGTCTTCTTAAAGTAAGCCTACTTGATAAATCTGGTTGGCTGTAACTTGAACCATGGATTCTGTGGTTCTTCTAGTACTTCATTAGGGTGGCCAATTGATTGTTTTAAGAGAAAACTATGACTACATTAAAATTTTGTTACATATTTTTGAATTAAAAAAAGGTATAAAGGCTGGTATTACCTGATAAATTTTTGTAATTCTTAATCTGGCCATGGCGCAATCAAATTCAATACTTTTTGAAAATAAAAAAATAGAACACTACACAATTTCTCCTAGACTGTGTTCTGGATAGCTCTCTGAAAATATGTTTTGAAAGGAGAAACTATTTTGACTATGTAGTACTATGTAGGGAATATGTAAGACATGCTTTGTAAAGCAATTGATGATGGCATCTGTACTATGATCTTGGTTTGTAAATATTTTGAATATCCTTTCAGCATTTGAAAAACCAAATATTGCATAGTACAATACTAATCAATATTTGGCAGTGTTTGAAAGGAGATGGATGGTATTAATACCACTTTACAATGCCTTGGTAAGGCCACACTTGGAATACTACCTCCAGTTTTGGTCACCACGATATAAAAAAGATGTTGAAACGAAGAGTACAGAGAAGAGTAACAAAGATGATTAGGGGTCTGGAGGCTAAAGCATATAAGGAAAGGCTGCTGGAATTGGGTATGTCTAGTTTAATGAAGAGAAGGACGAGGGGAGACATGATAGCAGTGTTCCAATATCTCAGGGGCTGTCAGAAAAAATAGGGAGTCAAGCTATTTTCAAAGGCACCTGAAGGCAGGACAAGAAGCAACGGATGGAAACTAATCAAGGAGAGAAGCAACCCAGAACTAAGGAGAAAATTTCTGACAGTTAGAACAATTAACCAGTGGAACAACCTGCCTCCAGAAGCGGTGAATGCTGGAAGTTTTTAAGAAGAGACTGGACAGCCATTTGTCTGAAATGGTATAGGGTTTCCTGCCTGAGCAGGGGGTTGGACTAGATGACCTCCAAGGTCCCTTCCCACATCATCATCATCATCATCATCATCATTATTATTATTATTATTATTATTATTGATCATCGCACAGTCAGCCAGATGTTCAGACTGGATTTGGCATTTTGTCTACCTTTCGAGTCCTTACCCAGGACCTGGGATAGGCAGATGTGGATGTTTGATGGTATTACAGATATCGTCGCAGGATGGAAGCAGTTCCTAATAAGGCCGCCTTTTGCAATTGACTAATAGCGAATTTGTCAATGCCAATGGTGTTCAAGTGGTGCTCCAGTTGTTTTGGGATTGCACCCAAGGAGCCTATTACTATTGGTACTACCCTTGCTTGCTTTTGCCACAGTCTTTCTATTTCTATTTGTAGGTCTTTGTATTTTGTTATCTTCTCCAGTTCTTTCTCTTCTATTCTGCTATCTCCAGGCACTGCCACGTCCACTATCCAGACTTTTTTGTCTTTCTTATCGACAATTGTTAAGTCTGGGGTGTTATGTTGCAGGTGCTTGTCTGTTTGAATTCTGAAGTCCCAGAGCAGTTTAATTTTATCATTTTCTATGACTTTCTCTATTTTATGATCCCACCAGTTTTTGCTTACAGGCAAATGATATTTTTTGCAGATCTTCCAATGCACCATTGTTGCTACTTTGTCATGCCGCTGCTTGTAATCAGTCTGTGCAATCTTCTTGCAACAGCTTACCAAGTGGTCCACTGTTTCTTCAGCTTCTTTGCATAGGCGGCACTTACTGTCTGTTGCTGTCTTCTCAATTTTGACTTTGTATGCATTTGTCCTTAAGGCTTGGTCTTGTGCAGCCAGAATTAGTCCCTCGGTCTCTTTCTTCAATTTTCCTGCTCTTAGCCATTGCCAGGTTTTATTATTATCTGCTTTCCCAGCTATTTTTTTCATGTATTGGCCATGTAGTGCTTTGTCTTCCCATGCCTCTATTCTGTTCTTCATTTGGTCTTTCTTGTAGGCCAGTTTGGTCTCTCCAGTAGTTAGTAAGCCTTCCTGATATACTAATTTCAGTGCATCTTCATCATTGTTCTTCAGATATTCTTCCAAAGCCATTTTTTCTTCTTCAACCATCTGATGTACTTGTAGCATTCCACGCCCACCTATTTGCCTTGGTAGATAAAGTCTATCAATGTCACTGCGTGGATGAAGGGCATGATTCATTGTCATTATTTTTCTGGTCTGCCTATCCATTGCTTTTAGTTCTGCTTGAGTCCAGTCCACTATTCCAGCTGTGTACCTAATGACTGGGATTGCCCAGGTGTTGATTGCCTTTATGGTATTTCCTCCATTGAGTTTGGATTTTAAGATCTTCTTCACTCTCTTGATGTATTCACCTCTAATCTTTTTCTTGACTTCAGTGTGCTTGATATTGTCAGCTTGAAGGATACCCAAGTATTTGTAGTACTCTTCCTCATCCAGACTCTTAATGTTATTTTCGTGGGGCATCTTGATTCCTTCAGTTTTCACTATTTTTCCTTGTTTGATAGTAAGTGTGGCACATTTGTCCAAGCCAAACTCCATTACAATATCTTGGCTATATATACGGACAGTGTTGAGCAGCGATTCTATTTCAGATGATGTTTTTCCATACAGCTTCAGATCATCCATGTAAAGGAGGTGGGATAGTCTGGCAGATGTTTTTGATGTTTGATAGCCATGTCCTGAGTTATTCAGTATTGTTGACAGAGGAAACAGTGCAATAACAAATAGTAATGGTGATAATGAATCTCCTTGAAATATTCCTCTCTTGATATTAACCTCTCCCAGCTTCTCACCATTGATTTGCAACTGTGTCTTCCATTGTGCCATTGATCTTTGCACAAATTTTCTGATGTTTCTACTGACTCCTGTTATTTCTAGGCACTTTATTATCCAATCATGTGGCAGAGAGTCAAATGCCTTTTTGTAGTCAATCCATGCCACATTCAGGTTGGTCTTCCTTCTCTTGCAGTTTTCCAAGATCATTTTGTCTATTAGGAGTTGATCTTTTGTTCCTCTGCTATTGGGGCGGTTTCCTTTCTGCTCAGGTGGAAAGAGATTGTTTTCAACTAGATGCTGTTGTACTGCATCAGCTACCACACCAGTTAGTAATTTGAAAGTTGTTGGTAAACAGGTAATTGGCCTGTAGTTGCCTGGTGTTGCCCCTTTTGCTGGATTTTTTATTATTAGGTAGGTTTTCCCAGTTGTTAGCCACTTTTCAATTTCTCCTCCTTGTAGTATATTGTTGAACTGCTTGGAAATGAGTGGGTGTATAACAGTTAGATGTTTCAACCAAAACCCATGCAGTTCATCTTCACCTGGTGCTGACCAATTTTTGATTTTCCTTGCTCTTTTTTCTACCATTTTTGTTGTTATTACTAGTTCTTTCATTTCAACTTCTGTTTTATTTGCATCCACCTCTTTTAACCAAGCCGCATCCTTGTTGTATTTCTTTGGGTTATCCCATATCTGCTTCCAGAACTGCACTGTTTCTTCCTTGTCAGGTACTGACTGATTCCTTGCAGTTTCTCCATTGATGGATTGGTAGAAACGTTTCTGATTGGATTGAAATTGGAGGTTCTGCCTATAGTTTGCAATTCGAGCTTCATATCTACTGATTTTCCTGGCTATAGCTGTTATTTGTTGCTTTATTATTTCCAGTGCTTCCTTGATCTTCCTTGTTTCTAAGTGGTATTTCTTGATTAGGTATTCTTTGGTCTTCTTGTTCTTCAGCTTCTTTTCTTTCATCTGTTCTAGCTTGCTTGCATGTGATCTTAACTTGCTGATCTTATTTTCTAGTCTAACCTTCCATTTTTCTGGTGCACTGTTTGTTTGTTTTTCTTCGTTGTTGATTTTGCATCCCAGGTATTCTGTTATAACTGCAGCTGTGCTGTACATTACTTGGTTTGTTTCTTGCAGTGAATTGGTGCTTATACTTGATATTGCAATATTTGCATCTTTTTTTTTTTATTAAAAAGTTTTATAAATTTTACAGAAAATAAAAGACAATACAGAAACAAAAAAACAACATATACAAATAAAAAACAAACATTACCCAACAAAAAAACCCCCTTCCCCCACCCCTACCCAAACCCCCCCTTCCCCCCCCCAGGGCCTCCCAGAGCAGAATATAGGCTTAATTAAAAAAAATTAAAAAAAATTTATATTTAAAAAAAAAGAATATAAAATGAAAAATATATGTATATATAATTAAAAATTATGAGAAAACTATATAATATTTTTTATATCAAGTTTAAATTGTATGAATTTTATCCATTTATCCCAAACAGCAAGAAATTTCTCTTGCGTTTGTCCCTTTAAGAAAGCCGAAATCTTTGCCATTTCCGCCAAATGAGACACTTTAAGAAACCACTCCTGCAATGTAGGCAAAGATTCCTTCTTCCAATATTGTCCTACTAACAGCCTCACAGCTGTAATCAAATTTAACATCAATATAACCTCCTTTGTATCACAATCAATAACTATACCTAACAAAAATAATTGTGGAGTAAATTTTACCCTCCTTTTAAAAATTCTCTGGATATTCCACCATATCTTAATCCAAAATGCTTTTATCTCTCTGCACGACCACCAAATATGATAATAAGTAGCATCCATACAACCACATCTCCAACATTTAGGTTGTAAGTCAGGGTACATAAAAGACATTTTTTGTGGATCAAGGTGCCATCTATAAAACATTTTATAAAAATTCTCCCTTAAATTCTGTGCTTGTGTAAATTTGACATTTCTCACCCAAATAGTTTCCCAGGTATCCAATGGAACTGGCTCGCCAAAATTCTGCGCCCATCTAATCAAACAATCTTTAATTAGTTCCGTTTCTGAATCCAATT